CTCGTCGGGTCTCCTGAAGTCCTATCACATCACAGCCGGTCGCGGAACAAATCTGCATGACCGTCATCACGTTGTGACCGATGGGGTTCCTACCGCTGTAGGCGAGCGTGCGTACGTTGAACGTGCCGAACGATAGGTCGCCCTCTCGTGCCTTCTTCTTCGCAGCCGCCTTGACGGCCGCTGCGGTCTCGTGTCTCTCTCGGTCCACCTCGCGTTGCGGGTGTGCTTTCTTCCGTCTTTTCCGAGCGGCGAGTTTCCTCGCATCAATCCATCTCTGCAGAGCTCGGTTCTTGCCTGTGGTGTTTTGACGAGGAGGGTGCAGCACTCCCTCCCCGCGGTGCCCGCGGTCGTCTCCCTTCTCCCGCGAGCGGTGCTTACTGACGTGGTGTTTACGAATCTCTCTACTCCTCCAGCTTCGTGGGCCACGCTTTCCGCGACGGTGGTTGCCAGGTGCAGTTTGCCGCTTTGCATTACTGCCGCGGGAACAGTGTCCATACACACCTCTCGCCACTACCACCGTCTGTGCATCCTCACCGCCACGCTGAGCCAGCGCGGCGGTGAGTTGCACCTTGGGACACCACCCGCCTACTATCTGTTGTGTTCTGGTTCGCCCTCGAGGGACTCACTAGGTCGATTTCGGCCCCGGCCGGGGAGCAGGCCGAGGAGGGGGAAAGGTGAGTGTAAGGTGCTGACAAAACGCTTTGTATCCCTCCATGTTCACACACGCGGACTGACTGCCAGCTGTACGGTTGGCTGACCCCGCAACCAAGCGTGCCAGCGATGACCCTATCGTCCCCGATCGCGCGAGCAGGATTACGAAGGTTTTGACCAGATGGACAGTGACGGAGGGCAAGAGGAGGCCTATGACTCGACAGGCTGGGAGGAGTGGGAGAGTGGTGAAGAGTCATCGTCCGACTTGTCCGACGACGAAGGTTAGGGCAGACACTGACTACCTTGTTGGGCCCTGCGTGTAGCGTATTAGTTTGACTTGGTAGGAATAATCCTGTTAATTCGGCAGCGCGGGGACGCAGCATACGCGATAGTTTCGACGCACCAATTGGCTGCAGATGGAAATATGGCGTCTTGACATTGGTCAGTTCATCCGATGACGCTGTTCGTGAATTGTGGCTGTAGTATCGAATGTATGACGTGTATTGCGGTGTAGTAGGTGATACTTGGTATTGTAACGAAACGTAACACAAAGGTCAGTAGATTGCAGCGAGTAGATTGCAGCGA